AGTGTTGATATTTTTTAAAAATGCTAGGTATTTTTAGTTGATCGTAAGAAGGGTGTTTGAATTGTACCGTACAAAACAGTTTTTTGTGAAAAAAATTGCTATTTTTTAGTTTAAAATTGCAGAAGTCAATAATTAGGTCTTTGATGATTTGTAAACAGTGAAAATTTTTGATCCATTACTTAATCAGATTCACAAAGTAGCATCTTAAAAGTATGTAGTAGTTTTATGGCATTTTAGCAAATTCTTTATGTTCAAGGAAGGAATGAGATTTTTAATTATTAAGTTCAGATCTTGTGTAGAAAACAATTTTTTGTGTTGGAATCACCTCTCTGGTACCTTGGTCGTTATATTGCTAAAAAATCTGAATTGTCATATTAGAGACTTCTGTCTGTCTATGGTGTGGTAGACTCAGATATGCATTTAATCCGTAAGGATAAAGTGACTTTTTTTTAGTATGTATATGGTTCCTTAAAAGTCTAAGTTTAGTTCGGTACAATATCAGGCACAGTAATTTCTGTGTTCAAAATTATGCATATTATAAGTTCGGAATAGCTGTATGTGATTATTTTTTGTAATTTTCACATATCACAACGCGTCAGATTAATTTCTTCGTGCATTAGCAAGTCTTCCAGCATCATTTTGGCAGTTTTTTTGCTGATTACAGTTTTTTTTTCCCTCCAGTTGTCCAGACAAAATTTCTTCAGTTTTATTTTTGTATTACTGCGTAAAATATTTCGTGGAGCTAAGCAGCTCCGGTAACTTTTTAACAGATCGCGCAATTTTCACTACTACTATTGTATATATATATATATATATACTATTTTTAAAACATACATATTTATATATACAGAGAAAAGTATAAGTCGATTTTCAGTATTTAGTAGGTGTTTCCTGCGAATAAGTTTAAAAAAGTTAGTGTCCTGAAACAATATGACTCAGTATATAACCACCATATAGGTGACAGACCGATTTTAACTCAGTTTCGGCACTCATTTTGAGAAATGATACCCCGGGGGGGAGACGGGCGTGAGAGTTTCCCCACCCCTTCCCTGCCACTAACCTCTTGAGAGGACTCTCGGCTCTCCGCATATTTTAGAGTGCCCACATGCCGCGCAGGCACTATACATTTACAAATGGGATTCGGACCCGGGGCTTTCGGTGCGGGAGTCAGTTGACTCCCGTACCACAGTCAGAGTCATTAAAAAAATCGTGATGTGCTGTAGAACTGAATGAAATAGACTGGGTTATTATGGGTTACTACTGCCGAAAAAACAATCTTTTGTGCTCTTTTCTGTTTCATTATTTTTCCTGACTAGCTGCATATCCATGTCATGCATATAAGTCTAAGAAAATATTGTACCTCCATTAATATCATTTAAAAAAATTTTAAAGAATCTGTTTAATAAGTTATACTGGAAATTTCAGTTAAGGAATAATAATAATAATAATAATAATAACAGAGAGATTTTAAAATTAAATAGGTAAACACATATATTAAATTTGAAAGCTTAATTCACATAACGTATTCTAACTAAATATTTCTCGTTACTAATCCTTTACCAGAAAAGTCACACAGATTTTTTTTTAATCTTGAATATTTGCTTGACTTTTGAAAAAGTGCAGAATTAAATACATTGAACTGTTAATTCGCTAAATAATGCAAAAATGCTGGGGAATAAAAGAAATAAAAGTTGGTATTGTTCATGACAACACAATACACACAATGATTTAGACCTTCTATATTTATGTCCTCCTACCTACTGCTGACAAATCCCACGGCTTAGTATATTGAAACTTATTATGTGTGACATTCGTGCTCGTAAAATATGTATTCATGAAAAATATTTAGAAAAACAAGGCTAAGTTTTCAAAGAAGGACTTCCCTTTCGTTCTCTTTGGCAATATTCCATGAAATTGTAGAATAATAGTAACTATAGAAAACGCATTTATAGCTAGTTCAATGCATTTGCACATTAGCCAAGAGATAGAAATAAAATATGACAGTGAATTCTATTCTTTTATTAAAGGTGTGATACTTTATTACCTCATTATTTCGTTTTAAAATATTCTAACATTTAGAAAAATAGAAACGTTAGGGAAATTTGTGCCTTTTCCAGTATTGATGCTTACTGTTGGACATTTGCTCTAAATTCTCATGCGTCATGAACATGTAAAAAATTATTTACTGTATCGGATTGAGTTAACTTGATGAATGCTATTTATCGCTAAAAATGCCCTTTGTTTGACCATTATTATTATTATTATTACTAGTCCAAAGGAGCAATTTCCCCAGCAGGACTATTAATTTCGATTTGGCATTTTGCGCCTATTCACGATAAGCCTTGTTTCAGTTTTCAAATTGTTGCCACCAAATACTATAGCCCTGTATTATATTTAAAGAAATTTATTAATGAAGAATCTGCATGAATGTACGTATGCTTCTCTCATTGTGATAAAACAACTGTATCTAGAGCCCAAAATTTGAATAACGTAGTCTTCCATAGAATATGGGCACTAATTTGAATTTGAAATTTGTTTTATTATTGATTTCATATTTTGAAACACTTCAACGAATTTTTGATTAACAAACTCAACGATTTGAAAGCGAGCAATGGTAACACTCTACCGCCCCCCCCCAAAAAAAAAACTTCAACGCGAGAGACTTTGTATAGGAAATTTTAAAGTTATGCTCATTTAAAAATTATTTTGCTATATTGCTGTTGACCTGAATTTTATGGTTTAAGTACGAAGAACATAATATTTAATAAATAAAGTAAATAATACACTTTATAAATACATTTTTAACACAAGAAATGTTAAAAAAACGGACCTTTGTACGTTATTTAAAATCTGAAATCTTTCAGATTTTTTTTTTATTATTTTTTTTTAATTATTATTTTTCTAAACTAACATTTTAACATTCATGAGCAATCTGAGGTTCGCAGGTAATCTAAATTTTTATGCTAAATAATTATGAACTTTTCTTAAAGTATCAGCCTTTATAAAAAAAGTTCTTTTTAATTTTAAATTTAAACGAATGTTATTAAAATTAGATTGAAACGTTTAGTTCGATTAGAAACTTTGAGTTCTTTTATTTAAATTAGATTTTTAAAATTTAATTTTAATAACAGAACTTAACGATTTTTAAAACGTGTGTTTTTGTTTCAGTGCTTTCTGATATTAGTATCAAAAGCATCAAACCATCAGTTTTTGTAAATGCACACATTTTTCTGCTTGCATACAAAATTTTTAACGAACCTATATCTCAATAGATCTTACCATCTCTAATTAAAAAATTAATCTCACCGTCTGCTGGAAAACTACATTGGCGTAAATCACTGACCAAAATCGCGAAATGTATTGTTGCATATTTACGGGTTCGTAATAGATTGAATGCACACAAGTCCAATGATAGACTAATAAAAATTATTTATCAAAATAAACACTTCAAAGTTCTGAAATTTTCCGCAGTTCACAGAATCACAGAGTACAATCAGTAGTTACTTATAAAACTACTGAGAACATTAAGCGCAAGGCAATGCAAAACGCACTTAAAGAGAAAGCTAACTCGGATATCTCAGTTCACACTGATCTATAACTCGCAAACAACAATAACTAAGCAACTGAAAGCAGAGATGCTCTCTCTTGTGCCTTAAATAGTTTTCAACCGGCTGTTGAGATAGTTCTAGTAATTTCTGCTTCTCAAAATTTCTGGAAAGCGATACGAGGATGGAATTACGATTCCATCTAACATAGTGCTAAATTACATTTATTCAATTTTAATACATATTATGGTGATACAGGAACCGGACCAAAATGTCGCCTAATTTGGCAACTTTTGGTAATTTATCGCCAAATTCGGCAGCAAAATAAGTCGCCAAAACCGTTGTCTTTTTGGCGATATCTCGCCAAATTACGGAGATACCCATTACTCAATGTTAAATGCACTGTATCCTGTATTCTCACTTTTCAGCATAGCCGCTCTTTAGATTTTTCATGTTACAAAAGAAATACAAACAACAATTTTACTTATAATTCTACTAGAATTACCTATCTAAGTATACAATTCGTGACAGTATCATTTTACTTAAACATTTTAGTAAATCTAAGTAAAGAAAAACCTTATTTCAATTTTTAATTGATAATTACTAGATTCACAACCTTGAGAATAAAGAGAATGCTGAAATCTCAATACATTTCCAAAAATAAAACAGCATGTTTTTTTACAGGAAAATAATATTTGCTTCTTGAAATATATTAGGTTATACTGCTAACCTTTAATCGAAACGCTGAACAAAGCCTTAGTTTTCCCAGTCACTTTTCTACCTATAAGTGATTCATAATCTAGATAATTTCTTCATTATCAAGAGATACTAATTAACGAATTTGTAAGATATTTATTTAATTTGATAATTTACTTACTGGTGTAGTTACTTCTCTTTTGCAGAACTAAATAACAATTATTTAGCTGGATGTCTTTAGTGGTATTTAGTACAGTTTTTAGCTTGATTATATTCGATGATTTATCTAAATTTCATATTTCTGAAGAGGGACACACTTAATTTGCCACAATTTCAAATTATGATCCGATTTAAAAATATTTCTTGACCAGAGTTAGATAAACAGTCCAGAAGCAATAAATCTTCATTAGGCTCCATTATGCAAATTTTTATTTAGAAAATAAAAAGCAAGTGTGACACTTTTATTTTAGGAAAAAAAATTTCCGGAACTTAACCCCAATGAGGAAATGTCTATTCATCAGAGTGTTGTGTATTGTATCAAACAATCAGCGATAAACGTTTTGGTTGCAAATGACAAATTTTTGGGGATGCAGTTCATCGCCTAACATAGTATCATTGCTGGATAGACAAAAAAAACAAACTCTGTTAGAGTCACAGTGTCATCTCCGTTTCGCGTATTTGAATAAACATAAACAAAGGCACAGTACATTGAAAGTGAAGTCCTGTTTACAATGCATCTGAATTCTCAATCAAAAAGTGAGTGACGTAGCCCACATTTGCTGTGAGTGGTATGACGGAAATGGGTGCCACCATGGGAAGCTCCTAGATCTATTATAGGTGAAAAATATGCGGTCACGCACCCTTAGGGAGCGGACGTTTAAGAATAATATCGAGTCGCTGATTAGGTCTCCTGGTTAAATCTCGGAACTCATGATTATGCTGGTTATTCCAAGCGAATTTAATAAATCAGAGGGTTTGAAGATTGGATCATTACGTATTTGTCCTAAATATAAAGGTATTTATTTACACATTTACAGCATTACTTATCTTGGATAAAAATATTCAAATTATGAACCATGCCTTTTACTGGAGTTGACTCCCATGTCTCTTTTAAAGGCAAATAAGTATAGAAATGTTTGTTTATAAATTTAAGGATTTTTAATTCTTAACAAGGTAAATCTTAAAAGTACTTGAATAAATTGCGTTCTTTTCATTATATTTATAGTTAAAAATTTATAGGATATTTTTAAAAACATGTAACCGAAACCATGTTAATGTATGTTTAGCTAAACGTAAACACGGGTAATCAGTTTTGGACACTATTTGAGTTTCATGAAAAGACGTTAATTTTATTTGCTAAATACCATTAATAATTAACACCTGAATTACTTTAATTATGGTATCACCCGGTAGCAAAGCGTCTTAAGGAATCTTCATCAACGCATCTCAATCAGAAATAACAATAATGACTACTATAGGCAAAAAATAAATTTTTAGTTTAATTAAGATTTAAAATTCTCTTTACTTTGGAAGACCTGCATTGAAATTACTTGCTTTTTTGCGTTAACTTGATTTTTTTCTCTTATTAATTTATCCTGGAGTGATTTACTTCACTTATTTAACAATTAAGATGTATTACGGTAATTCTCTGACAAAAGTTGATAAAAAACATCTCATTTACTAAAACCGAAGGCTCTAGAGCCTATATGTGCTCTCGGAAGCAATTACAAAGACTTTAAGTATAAATTCCATAAAGACTTTAAGTATAAATTCCATCTAAATTATACGTCCACAGAAACTTTTGATAAAAAATAAAATAACTGAAAGCGGAATTTTGATCTGCCCTTAACATATATTTTTCTCCCTTAAAGACAAATCCATTGTATCTGCTTCTCAAGCTTCTAAGCTTTAAGTGCAGATTTTGTAAATCATTTTGAATTTTTGTTTCGCATTCGCAACTTTCAGGATTAATATCAAGCCTTATTTCAATTCAAATGACTGTTGCTTGTTTGTAATACAAAATCAAATGCAATTTTCCACTCCGCATAAAACTTTAAAGGTATTAAAATATATACTAGTCAAATATTTTAAACTGCAGTATAATTTAAATATTTCATTACAAGAAATAGTAAATACCTCAACAAGAGAGTTAGTGAAAAAAGTTTCTCACCAATGTTTTTCAAGGAATGCTGCAATGTAAATTTCTGTATATGTTTGGCATTTCCCGACATTTCCTTAAATTCGATATACAAACTGTTAGAATAAATTAGTGTCATTTTTGCATAATGAAACTCGGCAATGTCAAAAACAAACGAGCACCAAACGATATACGAGTTTAAGTATAAATTCCATCTAAATTATACGTCCACAGAAACTTTTCATAAAAAATAAAATAACTGAAAGCGGAATTTTGATCTGCCCTTAACATATATTTTTCTCCCTTAAAGACAAATCCATTGTATCTGCTTGTACTCGCTCGTACATTAGCGAGAGAGGATTCTACCTATGGTTTTTTTTTTTTTTTTTTTTTTTTTTTTTTTTTTTTTTTTGTTTTGTTTTAGATGCAGAAAATCTTAAAAAGATTTTGTACTTGTAGTATACTTGAGCTTCATGCTTTTCAGCATGTTACCTTCTTTTATGGAATATACTCCTGATAATATTGCCTAATAGGTAAGCCTGAAGCTATTGAAACTTATAAATGACTACTTGGTTCATTCTACTTGGTAAGTCCTTCATTTCAATACTTCGATTCAAATGTTTGTAAAGACTGTTAACTTTGATTTGTATTCTGTTTACATTCTACTTGAGATATGAAAACTCACTAACTTGTTAAATAAAGATTTCATAGTTATTCTAACTAATATACTTTAATTAAACTATGCTAAATAGAAGATAGTGTACTCAAACGCCTTAACTGTGTCAAATGCACAAAATATCACAAGTAACATAACTAAATGTTATACCTTTTTAAAGTTTACCTGAAAAATATTTCAAGCGAGTACGAAATATTAAATGCAAATCAACAACTAATATACCGGAGATCTTCTGACAATGTATAATAAACGCTATAGTAAGTGGTGTTGCACAATATACGGTGTGTTCATTGTACAAATGATTATTATTTTACTTAACTGTACGAAAAGTATCCGTTCTTTAGCAAATGAGGGAGATTAACAATTGCCAGAGCACCCATGGATAAACATAATTTGTGACAACAGAAAGCTTAGTAAGAATCATTGAAAAATTATATTGTGTCTTTGCGTGCCAGCATAAAATAATAACAGTTGTTGATACAATCCAAGGACAAGAATGCTTTAACCCGATGCTGTTATATGATAGACACGCTCTGTAAAGTTGAATCCATTCATGAACTTTCACTTGTATTTTATTGTCGCAGATACAACCATAACAGAACGTGATGACCTTTCCGAAGGTCTTGGATTCGAAAACGGAGCAATATTTCATTTTATTAACATTCTGAGTGTTTCCATTTTTCATAACTATCATGAAAGTCGAGCAGAAACCAAATTGACTGTTTAAAAAAATTGTGGTGACTACTGTTATTTCAATTTCAAGTGGTTTGGAACTGTTATTTTAAATTCAACATTTCGAAGGAACTGCAGGTAATAAGTAATTTATTACGTGACACATTTGTTCAGATTTATAATATTTAAAAAAAGTCTTAGATATTTATTGTTTTAATTTAATAAGATATTTACTGTTTATGGTGATGGTTACATAGGGTTATTATAAATATAATGTGGTAGTAACATGGTTTTGAAATCAAGGTGATGCAACGTAATTAATATTTTTTGACAGATAATTTCAGCAGTGCAAAACAACGCACGTTTTTCTACTTATATTTAAAATAAATGTATGTTTTTGCTAGCTCTGTTTTAACCGTGCGACAACGGAAAACGTAGGAACTAAAATTTATGTTTTATTCTAAGATTTAAATTATTCTTTATTTCAATTGTTACTTAATTTGTGAACATTTTATTAAAATTAACATACATTATTTGCGAATATTTTATTGAAGATATCACATATTATAAAAATCCATTTATGTTTTTAACACAGAAACATAAACGTGAAATAGCTATGAAGTAAAAGTGTTTTGAATATATCGAATTTTATTCTTTTATTTATTATATGAATAAAATAAACGAAAGCAGTGATGCGTTAATTCGGTTTATTAGCCCAGAAGGGCTATTAATTTCGTTTTGGCATTTTGCGTTCAAAACTTTAAATGTCGATTCACTTTTCAAATTGTTGCCACCAAATATTATCGCCTTATGCTGTATTAAAGAAATTAAATAATGAAGAATCCCCATTAAATGTATGTATTTTTCTCGGATTGTGATAAAACAACGGTACCTACAGCCATCAAATTTTGAATAACGTAATCTTCTACCGAATATGGGTATCTAGAAGCCCTAATAAAACTGAACGAAAAAATATATGGGTAAAGTGCAGAATCGCCCACTTATGTGTTTGGCGCTTTTTACAAGAGTAAGAAGAATTGGATTTGTCTCAATTTTCTTTGATTTTTTAAGTGAAAATAAGTCGATATGTACCTAGAGTAAAGGGAGTGCGCAATGCCATTTTTGTGTAATTCTGGGATCTTTTTAAGTGAAAATAGGTCGATGTGTACATGGATATCGAGTATGTGAAATCCTTAAAAACGTGGGTGATTCTTCACTTTCTCCAAAAACATTTTTATGTCCTACACGCGAGCTTGTTTATCGGAAATTCAAAGATATGCTCATTTTAAAATTATTTTGCGATGTTGCTGTTGAACTGAGTTTTATGGTTTAAGTGAAAAGAACTTTTAATAAATAAAGGTAACACACAAAAAGGTTAAAAAGTTTTAAAAAAGTCCCTTTGGGTGCAGTGTAAAATTTGAAAGCTTTCAGATTTTTTAATTAATTAATTAATTAATTAATTTTTTATATTCTGTTGCAGATTCAACGAAATTTTTAATTAAAATTTTGTGAACATGTATTTTTCTTGGACCTTTGTTTATTCGATAATTCATTAATTTATTAATAAATTAGACTGAAATTTATTATTTGTCAGTTTTTTTAGCTATCGTAATTAAGGAAACTATAATATTAATTTATCATAATTAAGGAAACTATAATATCAATTGATTAATAATATTATTACTAATTATTTAATAAAGATTAATTAATAATTATTGAAATAAAGATTTAAATTATTATCTGCGTTTAGCTCTTTTAGAGCGCTTAGTTTGTTAATTGGTAAAATAACTAATTAAATTTAAACGTAAATTACTAATCTTACGTTTTTCTGTAAGAGACATATGACTTATGTCAGACCAGCTTCAAAACCTATAGAATTTCATTTAAAATGCAAGCCAATTTTGCTTTTTTTGCCTCATTTTACAGAATATTTTTTATTCACTTTATTATAAAGCTTATAATTCACTTTTCTTTTCGCTTTGCAATCACCTGTCTTTTTACATGTATATATAATTGGAATATAAGTATATGAAATCCACACTAGTTCGTAGCTTTAAGTTTTATTTCGCTGCCCGTAGACGATGTAGAAATCAATAACATCATTTATCATATCGAGGTTCAGATGTGAATCCCAGAAATGTCACTTATGCTTGTATTGTATGGGAGCTTTATGACATGGAAAGGCTTACGAGTTCTCTGAGTATCTGAGTTGATAATAATGTAAAATATAGTAAATAACCATGGACAATATTTGGCGATAGTGTAAGAAGGCTATAAGATTACCAGATTCCGTCCTTCAAGGTATTTATTATCGAATTGCGATGGGGATGAGCAAAATCGTTCTGTCACCCAAGTCTTCATGACAAAAGAGTTTTCGAATCCCCACAGAGTAATTTCAAAATTCGTTTTTATGGCGAGCTATAACGCTAACTGCAAGCAGCAGTTGCAACATTTTGCTTGGACTGGGATTAAAATAAAATTAGAATAACTCTGTATAGTTTGTCAGTAAAATGTTTTAAAGATTAGGATT